TGCTGGCAGTTTTAAAATTTAGTTTAGAGTGGCACAAGTAATTAAAATGCTTGTTAATAGAACTCATCGCTTGTAAAATCGTAAAAATAATTGTGTATTTGGAGGTCATGTCTGATGACAAAGGTCACGGGTTAGGTTTGGCCACAAGGTCAAAGTTCGGGGTCAGAGGTCATGGTCAAAGGTCAATGATGAGTCCAAAGGTCATATTTTGATGCTTTTAACGTTAACGTCATATATTCAGTGCAGCTAGACTGCATGTAAGGTCGCTTAGCAGTCCATTATATCGTTCATGTTACTGTTTATCGTTTTATTCTTGTATTGCAATAGGCTGGTTTTAAGACGTCTAGAGGTGGGGAAACTGACACGAAAAGGCGAATACAAACCAATTTGAAAAGATAGATTTTACGTGGAATAAGGCTTTGATTAAGATATCCTCATATTTCTATTGACATACAATGGGTCAGCTTTCAGTTTGCCCAGCTTGACAGCTCATTCAGATGTTTTGCTGTATGTTTAACCCCTGCTTTGCACGTGCTGTCCCTTCGTCCGTGTTCCTTCTAGTTACCCGTAGTTATTCCATCAGAGGTAGCTACCGCAGTTGACAAAGCACTGTTTTGCTTAACGTGTACCCCCTGCTTTGCAAGTGTTGCTTCTAGTTCCCAGTATAGTTTGCAAGTGTTGCCACCGGGGGTCGCTACTGCAATTGGCGATACACTTTTTGGCCCTTGATGTTTTTTACAAAGATGTTACTTTGTCGTTTACTTTGTCGCATAAAACAAATTGGCTACGTTTTTAATTTCGCTTTTAAATCGGACATAACGTTTATGTGGTCGATTAGTATTGTATTTCAAATTTATTTTTAACTGCATTGTAATATTTCAGTTAGGCTAGTTAGCCAGTCGTTTTACGGAGATTATTTCCAGCACATTGGAAATTTTCCAAGTCCCTCAGAAGCTATACCCCAAAAATTCTTTTTGATGACGTCACTCCTTGCTATCTACGCAGAGAAAGCCTGTAGAGTGACGTCATAATATTTGATTGACGTCAAAATATTGATGACGTCATAAAGTCTGTTCTTAGAGTTCTTGGTTTTCACAAAAAGGCCTTAAAAAGCGTGAAATACTTCTAAATGTGCTAAAGCAGGTAGATATGTCTTTTACTGCCTAAAATATGATCAATTAGCCGAAACTCTTTCCCCACCAATGTAACTTGGCCTTGGTACTTCAATATATCCTGTCCTTTACACACCACATTTGGATTTATTTCATCGTATTTTCTCTACTTATGTGATGAAATTCGTAAAACTCTAAAAATAGACTTAATGACGTCATCACTATAACTATCGCGACCTACGGAAGATAAGGCCGACGTCCGGAGATACCTTTCGGACATATTTAGACAGACTGGCAAACTGGCATATGACATATGAGCTCTCTTTTATCGCATGTTACCTTTAAAACTACTTTAAACGTTTTTCATAGATATAGTTACCTAATATATTTTGAAGTTTTGGACATTTTCGCTCAGTAACTTAAAAGCAGGCTGAGTTTTTATTGTATGAATTTTGAGATGAATTGTTTTTGGACATTTTCGGATTGACTAAAATATCCATTCGTTTTTAGCAATTTAAATTTAGCAGAGTTAGTTTGGAGATCTTGTAGTTGTATAGTTGATACAAAAATTTGTTTCATTGCCCGCGTTTTATTCGCGTGTTTCTGCGTGATTTGTGATGAGAGGAGACGAATTCAGGAAGGAGATGATCAGATTTTTCAAAAGATGCCATTCGATTTTCGAATGTATACGTTCGATTTCTGATTCGATTTTAGAAATTTGTCTTCGATCGATCGATTTTCGAAGGTAAACGTTCCAATTTCGAGAAGTTCGTTGAATCAAAGTTTGAAACTTTTTAATACACAGATGAAATCGATTCGTGAAGGGAAAGGGAACGTAAAGAGAAAGGCCGGTTATAAGGCACTTTTGTATATTTTAATTGTTCTTAATTTGTAATACAGAAGAACATAAAAATGTATTAAAAACTGTCTGCTCTAAGTCTATCACAACAATGACAGACCTGCCAACCTCCCAAGCTTAAAAACCTGGATATTTGAAATTTTTCTTTATTAAAACCTGGAGATTTTGCTAAAAACCTGAAGATTTTGTGTATCCTGTATACTATAACTTAAACAGTTTTCACACACAGCGCTGTGATGTGATTCAAGAACGATAACACAGAAGAGGGAAATTGTACATAAAATCATGCATAAAATTTGCAGGGGAAAAGCTGAATAAAATCTAAACATCTTGAAAATCGCTGCATTGGTAAATTGAAAATAAGTTTTTGAAAAACCGTGTGAAATGAACAAAAATTCGTGTGAACGTGAGATTGAGGCCAAAACCGTGAGAGTTGGCAGGTCTGCAATGAATGCTTCCAAAGATAGGCCGGCTGAAAAAGTTGAATTGACTAAATTCTTTGAAGCTGACTAGATAGCGAGTCGCTATAAAATGTCTACGAAAAAGAGGACTTTATTTTCCGAAAATTTGTTGAGCAAATTAGATGCAACCAGCAGTCAGAAATAAAAAATGTTTCTCAACAGTGATTTAGTAGCAAAAGAAACAGAGAAGTGAACTTGTAAAGGAATTGATGCTAGAGGGGAAAGAATTTGCCTGTTTCCCTGCAAGGCATTTACAGTAAGAGTCACTAAAACTCGACGCTGAGCAATGTTTTCAACTCAAAACCTTCTAGAGAAATTATGATTGTATTTACACTCAAATAAAAAAGAAAAGTTGTGCAAATTTTTAAGTAAAAACTAGAAATTTCCATCCTTGATCGGAGGAAAAACCAACTCTTGGGGTATAGAAATGATTTGAGATGTGGGCAGTGTATTTATGTGATATCGATGAGGTTGGTGGGGCGTAAAAAAGAAACGCGAGGGTGAGGGGTGCCAACCACTGTTCAGAGGTGGCAACTTCACACAACAGCAACAGCAATAACAACAGCAACAACAATGAAGTCGCAAGCAACAACAACCACTGTGAAACCATTACACTTACTTTCTATTTGCAAGTTGGAACATTTTTAGGGAACAGATTGTCTAAAGTGGTAATGGCTTCAGGGACAAAGAGATTGATTGTGTTTGGTGGAGGTATAGCCTCTTCGTTGCTTGTTTTCAATGCAGTAGACAGAACCTTTTACAAAAAGCGGCAAATTCAAAACTCTTTGCTGGCCGATGCTTCGTTGGCGGGAAAGGTGAGATATCGCGAAATTTTATACATATGGTTAATCTGTAATTTTCTGTGAACCAGAGAGTTCCCTCGAGACATTTTGTGTGCCAATGGCATTAGTTCACCTGTGCCTTGTATTCTGTGACTTTTTAGCCATCAAACTGCACCACAATTCTTTGCCAAACGAATTTGTTTTAATAGGCCAGGCCATTATCAAAGTAGGATTAATGAAATATAAACCATTGCATATAAAATTTAAGTATTCACGATTATTAAAAGATTTCTTTTTTATTCAAGGAAGAAAGTAGCTTATTCGTAATTTCCAACTGATTTCAAACTAATTTCCATTTGGAAGAGATTTTTTATATAAGCTGTAAAAGTGCAAAGGTCGAGGGAGGAAGCATGTCCAACTGTTTTCAACCCTAAATTTTGCCGTTTTAAAGTAAATTTATGTGCAGATGTACAATCATAAGGGGAAGGATAATATCTGCAGGAATTTTTGATATCTCTTACTGTAGAGTATTTATTCTGTGTGTGGACCAGCGTGGAATCCATGTACAATGCCTGCCAAAAGTCTTGGAACACTGACATCAATTTCCAAGGTTTACTATCAAACGGGCCAGGATTTTAGGAAGCACTTTCTTTTGCGCTTCTTTTATGATATTTCTCTTATGACATTGTTTTAGGGGGAAGGGGGCGGAAGTAGCAATTTTTTCATGAAAGGTCTGAAAGATATCAAATGCAGCGTAAATTGCTGGGTGTTCCAAGTACTTTTGGCAGGCATTGTTGCCTACACCAGAGATATCTGGCGTAGACTACTGGTTTCCATTGTCTTTCTAATGTTTATTAGCTCATATCTGGTGTAAGCTTCACATGGATTCCATCCTGGCATGGGGAATGCTAGAACAATAAGTTTTTGAATACAAATTATTTTATGCAAGAAATGGTACCCAAAATTTGTAGCAAATTTTGTAGATATATTGTATTCTTTTTTTGTAAAGCCAAAAGCTTAGATGGTGTAATATTTGCAGGAAAAGAATAAAAATATCTTATCTACTGACTCTACATCCAATCTTCAGAATATAACAAATGCCTATGCACAGTCATTGTAATGCTGCACACCAACACTTGAAATTACACACTGAATCTACAAATAGATCAACATTTGTTAGAAAACTTCTGGGTGCCATATAATACTTAAAGGAGGTTTGTATGTGGAAAACATGGCTGAAATGACTTTGTATGCTCTTGATCTTCTCAAGAACTGCTATGCTCTGCAAACTGGTTCTCTGATATGCTCTTTATAATCTGATGGCTGAATAATGGATGAAAATTATTCCACAGATAATACATTCAGCTAAAGACCAAGCTTTTAGTTTTTCCCACATCTTGCATTATTTCAGTCCTGTGTAGTTCTTAAATTGTTGGGGTTCAGGGGGGGAATAGCCTCCAGGGTTAAAGGTTCTTACATTGTGAACTAACATGCTTAATCCAGTTCCTATATTGTTTGAGTCTTTTCCTGTATATCATTTCAATTAAAGATTTTGTATGCTGATAGATAACAGTGTGGGGGTTCAGGGGGCAGTAAAAACCCCAATTGGACATAACTTGGTTAAAGATTCTTACATTGTGTTCATATGCCCTTATATGACAGCAGCAACTGGCACGAAAATAAGATGGTACTAGTAAAGCCTGAGGAAGGGTGACACAGGTACAGGAGGGTCAGAATTAAGATATGGTGTATTCCGCTGCTCTTCACTTTTGCCATTAATTCAATTATCATAGAAAAAAGCAAAATCATACAATACAAAGATATTTTGAGCCTTCAAAATAAAATGGCACTAGACTGGTACCACTAGTACCGCTGCAAGGTGCTACTGGTATGTGACAATACATATTTAAGGTTACAATGTGCCCAAGCACACTCAAATATGACTATATTGTGACAAACTTAGTCCCTAATCCCAAATTCATTCTTGCTTGAGTTGACTAATCTCAAAAAAAGTTACATTGTTTTGACTTGAAGCAGATGGAGCTCATAACAGCTGAAATGCTTCTGCTTGTTGTCTAAGTCGAAAAAGATCTCCTTGATTTTCGGTTATTACCATTCAATTTATTCAATGAGTAGCCTGTATATTGTAAATTTAAATGTAAATTTCTTTGGGGAGAGTTACTGCACTCTTTTTTAACAATGCTACTCATTTTAAAGGCATTGAGTCATGATATAATGGATTGGGTATGCCCTAAGTGGCAAAATCCGCTGAGTCATGATTTTCATGACTGCGATGCTATTGTTTGACCTGGAACTGGTCACATGAACTCACCTCGTACCGATTGACAAAACAATTTCCATCAATAGCAAGTTGTCAACAACTGATGCAAGTATCACATAAAACAGCAGCGATCACGCCAAAACCAAATGACCCCCTATAGAGAAGGCCTATTTACCATGACTTACTCAATGCCTTTAAATCAGGCCTTGCAAGGAAAGGTGCTCAAGCTCTATCAAGTGTCTCTGCACATGCCTAGAAAGCTCTAGAAGCTGGATTGATCAAGCACCTAGTGTGTTTATGCAGTCTAAAAACTAAATGCAAAAAGGCAATTTGTTCTAAATGTTATTTGAAAATGCTAAACTGAGCACCTAGAAAGTTCAAGGTGCTCAGTTCCCCAAGCGCCAGCTTTTTGCTCCTCACAAGGCGGGTTTAAATCATATTAATCTCAAATACTTTCCCTATTCCTCTTTCCTAGCCTGAAGATCTACATCTCAAACAGGTGATAATTCTCACAAGACATGGAGCAAGGACACCATTTAAATTTATTCCAAATTATCAACCTGCCACATGGCCTGTTGAGGATAATGAGGATTTGGAACACACGTTGATCAATCATACAGTAAGAAGTTTAGATTTCGGAAGCAAGCCAGAATCAGCGATTGATAATGCGTACCGTGATAAAGAACGACTCAAGGTTACTGGGTATTTTCTTTCAAATCACTAATTATGATTATGAATCATTGTAACAATCAGTAAAATCATTAGAATCATTTCAAAACTCTTTAGTCACAATCAAGCACATGACAGGTAAGGTTGTCCAATCAGTGCCATTTGCAATTATTACCAAAAGAGACCAAGGGTGAAACCAGTGGCGGATTCAAGAGGGCAACTAGGGGCAGTTGCCCCTCCCTCAACGAGTTGAAGCAAGTCTGGCGCCCCTTTTTTAGAAATTGTGCGCCCCTTTTGAAGAATGAGAATCAGATGAAAAAGGTTCTTGGACCGATAGGTTAATTTGTTTCAAGGATTACCTCGAAGTTATGTTGTTTATTCTGAAAAGATATCTGGAATTGTTGTATACAGCGTACTCTCGTAACCTATTCTTGAAATTTTTCAGCGCCCTCACTATCAACTGCCCCTCCTTCAAATTTGCTCTGGATCCGTCCCTGGGTGAAACCAACCCTCTCTGTATGTACGTATAGAATATCCATTAATATTTAGATGGGTTCCAAATCTACCATGACTGTTATCTGCCAGTCATCCAAAACATGGTATTGTAATGTTTGGAAAAATTTGGGTTTTCCAGTGAATCACAGGTTTTAGTTTATGTTTTAAATCTGCAAGACCAATGATGTTCTCTCAGGGGGTAAGGGGGTGGGGGCGAATCTCACTGGGAGCATAGATAACGGAACTCTTTTGGGTTGTAGGAATGCAATCATTTTGAATGGATTGAAGGGCCTTTTTGTACTGTACATAATACGAGGATTAACAGCAAAGAAACATTTTGTAATGGCCTGTTTAATCTGACTTTCAATTATCAAGAAAATGTTAACGATTCAAGGTAGATAAACTTGGCCAAACTTTAGCGGACCAAACTTTATCTTAGCTGGAAAACTTGCGACTTTCTTTTTAAATTTTGTAGCAATACCCTCTAGATTTCTGTTGTCCAGATATATCTTTGTCAGTTTGTCAAGTTCTGTGTCGATTTTTGACTCTGAACGAATCCATTGCGCTCTTTGAGTCAATGTTTCGATAAGATTGATTTCTCTCTGTTTCGGGCAAAAGGAATTCTACCATGTGTATGACTGTGAAAATGTAGGTTTAAGATATCCTTTGGTAAGTGATCAAGTTCCGGACTTTTCAAAGAAAACATCTTAAAATGCCAAGGGCTCGTTTCCAGACTTTTCAATGTTTTCGTTTCCAGTTCCGGACTTCTTAAAATCCCCGAAAACATCTTAAAATGCCAAATTATCAAAACCTTTATTGTGTAGACAGGAGGACTTCGTTTTCCATCCTTAGTGGCACTGATTGGGCAACCTTAACAGCCAGGTGTTCGCTTTTTGTTTCAAAGTATTAAATTCTTAAAAGTGTCAGAAGAAAAGTTTTAGTATGTTTAAGTATGCTTGCCTTTTCCAAAGCCATTTTGAAATTTCAATTTTCATTATAAACTGTATCATCACTATTATCAAATGAACGTAATAAAAGTGTTGACCAAATTTATTTTAATAGAAAATTTTGACTCTTTCCCTCTGAAACTCGCTAAGAAGGGCGAACCCCCGACCCCCTTCTATTTCTGGCGACCCCCTTCAATGTGATCGTCATTGTAGAGTCTTTCGCAAAAGATTTTATCTTATAACTACTGTGGAGGCGCATCATTTAATCTTGACATTGAGGCCAGGATATTTTTTGTCTTTCCAAGGCTGGTGTTACTATTAAGGAGCTGTCTAGTTTTCATACTGCTCGACCTGATGACGTAATTGTTTTACCCTTAACCTAACCCTGAACCTAACCTTCAACCTAAACCTAGCCCTTACCCTAACCCTAACCCTTTACTTGAAATAATTAATCATGCTAATTTATGACTATCAGGTCGAGCAGTATGGAAACTAGACAATTCCTACTATTAAGGGGCCATAGAGTGCGACGTAACGGACTTAATTCAGTGCAAGCTGATTTTAAATTGTCTAATGGATTTCTTCTTGAAGGGTGGTTCATTAGTTGGTCAATTAACTAAAATTGGTCAAGAACAAATGTATCAACTTGGTAAGGCCTACAGAAAGAGATACGTCGAGGAGCTTGGACTTTTGTCACCAGACTACAACCATGAACAAGTATAGTAAGTTGGAAATAATTTTCTCTAATTTTTCCAACATTTTTCTGTTATATAGAATCTCCACAAATTTACATCCATTTACAAGCCTTATCAAATGCTATTTGATCCTTTATTACGTGGGATATTTAGAAAATCATCAGCCTCTTTGATTTAATAACATGGAAAAATTACAGGCAACTATTTATACTAAACTATTTATACACTTTTTTCCCCTTCCCGTTCTACCAGTAATGTTGTGTACACATACAATTTCTGTTGTGACCTTTGACCTGCGATGAATGACGCATGACCCTTGCTCTTTGACTTATAATCTATGATTGATAAAAATTGCAAAACATACTGAAAACATACCCATTTATTCCCCAAAACCCCAGCAAGGCAATAATACTGTGCTTTCCCCTACCTTCACCGTATGTTACCAAAACCTTCGGCATAGAACTACTGCCACTTCATACCTAATTTTACATTGCTTAAGCTGCAAGGCGTTTTTCTCATCCTAGCGTGAGATCAACCAACATCAAGCGAACCATCATGTCAGCTCGATGCGTTTTAGCAGGACTTTATGGCGATACACACCTTAAAGGTGAGTGTTGAATACAGTATTCAGAGCAAACATCACCATTGTTGATAAATATTGAAATATCAATCGTTATTTGAAAATGTAATGAGAGCGACAGTGTCACCATCGTTTCAAAAAAGGCGATGTCGCCATCGTTTCAAAATATAAAAGTTTTAAACTAATCTTTCTAGTGAAATGCTTTATGATAATACTTCCTGAATTTATGTTCAAATCCATGGCATTTAAAGTTTATTCTTTTTATAGCGATTAAATTCAATGTTAATTTGGCCTCTTTTCTATCTTCAGGCCCAATCCCAATCTTTACGTCAGTTAACGAACACGAGGCTCTGTATCCAAATTACTATTTCTGCAAGAACCTCAAGCACTGGGCAAAAATCGCTTGGACAACCTGGGAAGACATCCCCGGCCTAGTAGAATTCCTTGATGCAGTTGCCAAGGAACTAGGTTTTGATAGAAAGAAAGAGGAGTTTGGTATTATATCTCTCGAGGACAATGTGTGTGCCAGAGCTGTAAGTACATTTCTAAGACCCCATTTGCTTATTGCTGTTACCGTATCTTTGTTGATTTAAGGCCCTGAGGCTATTATTAATTCCAGCACCTTTTTGGAGGGTGTTTATTCGACAAGGGGCGTTTAATCGAGGAAATGTGGTATTTTATTTGTAATATTTGTATTTTAAGGGGATATCAGCATGATTTATTCTTCTTTCGCCAATTTCGGAGACTTCGGAGGCCCTGGGGAAAAGCCAAAAGACGAGGTCCTCTATGAGACAGTTTTTGCCACCACGCCCTTCTGATGACCGCGCCTTAAAATGCATTTCAGAAGTTTTTTGCAGTCACTTTTCTGCAATCATTTAAAATGTTTAAATCGTCTGATAAATTCTTTTTTAAAAATGAATTCATTACTTGACGAGGCCCCCTAGGCCTAGTGGCCTTGGGGAAATTTGGCCCTTGCCCCCTCTCGGCAGCCCTGGATATAGAGCTTACTGCTTAAATAGAAAGTTTGACAAAAATGTGTGCATAAAATATTGGGATGCTCTTTGGAACTATAGCTACATTACTAAGCATTTAATTTTTTGGAAGAAAATAAAACGATTTATAGAGAAGGATGAAATGATGTATAGCCCCCTGGTGGCTTATTTATTTTTGGTATTTTTGGATGGGGGCTTATTTGAGGGGGGGCTTATACGAGGGGGGCTTATAAAATTATTGTAGACATTAAGAAGATATTTTTGAAAGACCTCGTTTATTTAAGTTGTAGAGATTTGTTAATGAGCATTTAATTATTTCTTACCAAAAATATCAATTTGTTGTGGTAATTCAATAAAACACCATAGGCAACATCAGATGGCAACAATCAGCAAATCAAAGGGTCCGATTCGAGAATTTACAGTAGTAGTGAAGGCTTATTCGAGGGGGGGGGGGCTTATTGACAATTTGTAGTTCTAGGGTGGGGGCTTATTCGAGATGGGGGGCTTTTTCGAAGGGGGGGGAAATTCGAGGATTTACGGTATGAGTTTAACCGGTTCTTATTTCCTTGTGCGATAAGAAACTTTTTGATGTATAAACGAATTTTATTGTTGATTCTAAAATTTGTTTGTTTTGGTTATTTGGAAATCTTAAATCAAAATATTTTTATTCATTGCTGTTTCTTTGCTCAATATTTTTTTTTTTTAGGCAAAGAACGAGCCAATTCCTGAGTTTTTAATAAATCGAAGAGATGAGATAGAGTCATTTGCAGTAGCCTATCAAATGCGGGTTCTTATTGGAACAGGCAAAAGGTTTGTACCCTCAATTTTTGTTTCAACTAGAGTAGCTTTACATATCAGCACGATTTATTTGTCTGCAACAGCATATGTTTGTTGGAGAGACGAGCGAGCGAAAATCTTCAAATGAGTGAGGCAACCCTCCGTCCTGGAGTCAGAGAGCATGCGTAATAATAACTTCGTTCCGTGCGTATGCTCTTCGACTCCATGACGGAGTGTTGCCTCACTTATAAAAAACTTTCTCTTGCTCGTCTCCCCAACAAATGTTGTAACATTCCACATATCTCCAATAGCTTATTTCCAATGGCTTTGTTTTGTTGAATTTTCAGTCACTCAATCGCACGTATGGCAATTGGTGGTTTCATAGAGGCTGTGTGCACGCAACTTGAAGACAAAGCTGAAAACCAAAGGTATCATGGGTCCTAAAATCTTAACCATGCCAAAACAACAGTAATCCATTTGTTAAACCCAGTCTTTCCGCTTGCTAAATTTCTGTCAATTTTCAACAAATTTGACTTATTTTTAAGGTGTTCTTTTATCCATTTCTTCAAAGAAAATATTTGTCATGACACTAAACTTTAGAACTCCATTGAGAACGCCAGAAACATTTTTTTAACAGTAAAAACGAAATGTACCTGAGATCCAACACTCTTTTTAGTGTGCTGAGACATGCAGGCACAAGATTTAGGGACTAACACTAGACTTACTCCAAGAGCCTTTGTTTCGCTACTGCCTCACTTGAGTAAAGTGAAGCAGTAGCAAAACAGAGGCTCATGGAGTAAGTCTAGACTAACACTTGCAAATTTCCACAGCTCTACATCAAAACTTCTTTTAACTCCCCAATTGAACCCTGTTCCCTTTTTCTTTCAAATAATTGCAGTGATCTGAAGCTTATACTGTATTCTGCTCATGACACAACATTGATGGCTGTTCTGTACGTCCTTGGTGTGTATGACTTCAAATGGCCTAAATACGCTGCTGACGTCAAAGTCGAACTCTACCAGGACGAGGTTAGTCGATCTGTATTAACCAAGCCAATCAGACTCGTTTTCCTTTTCTTGTTGATTGTTTGGTTCTGGATGTTTCATTTTAGTTATGATTATTATGTTGATCACCAAAACAAACCCTTGGATCAGTGATGGACACCTGGGGACAAGAAGGGAGAGCGGTCGCCCCAAATATTTTGAAGGACAATGGTCTTTTGTTCTAAAACAATGAGAAAATATGATGTCATCTTATTAAAACAATAGGTATCCCCCCCCTAATATTTGACCAAGTGTCCGTCCCTGCCTTTGGTTGAATAGGAAATTTAGTGCTTCATATTCTTTTTAGGGGGAAAAGACTCGTCTCCTATTTTTCGGGGCTATTATTCTATCCGTTAGTCTGATCCAGTGAGAAAGGTCATCATGTGCGTTCAGGTGAAAGGTTGTTGAAAAAATTTGCATCTCATGGCGTTTCACAATCAAAACTATTGTTTACCATAATTAACTATCGTAAATCCTCGAATTAGCCCCCTGGGGGCTTATTTATCTTTCTAATATTTTTGGATTGGGGCTTATTCGATGGGGGGCTTACAGGAGGGGGAGGCTTATAAAATTATTGTAGACATTAAGAAGACATAGAGAAATGTTCTTACCAACACGTATAACTTGGAGTTTTGGGTATAATGAAAACGTGGGTGTTAGGTCGTGATGTCATTTGGTTAAAGTAAGTGCCAATTTTAGACGCTTTTGCCAACAGCATATCCAGAATAGGAGGTTCGTAAAATGTAACAAAATTTACCTACTGGGACTAAAATCGGAGAAAATTTGCTTCTATTATGCCAACTTGCTGGAGATTTTATCGACCATCTATCGACCATCTAAGTGTGTTATACCCCCCTCCCTTCTTTTGTAAACGATTTTGCAGTTTAGCTTATCAACAACTTAAGTGTGTCACACCCTCCTTTCTTCGCCACCCCCGTTTAGGCCCCTGATTGTAACAGCCATCTGTTGAGGAAGCAGAAACACCCAAAATGTCACACTAGTTGGGCAATTTAATTTTAAACCATTTCCACACCTTTTTGAAATACTTCAACAGTTTCAAATATGTTTTAACACAAGAAGTTTGATTTATTCCAGAAACAAAACTGGTTTGTGAAACTTTTGTACAACGACCAGGTAAGGTTATCATTTTAATATTTTCTTTTTCGCGGATGTTGATTACTTTGTATTTCTACCGCTTTAAATCTTATCGAGACAACTCACGTGGTCTTTCTCAAACTTGCATATGATGTCATTCGATGTGAGAAACCACGTGATATGTTTTCGCTACCAATGCCATATAAGCAATCCTCGTCTCAGGTCTAATAACCTTTTTCTGTTTTGAACAGGAATTGCTAATGCCTGGTTGTGAAACTACAGTTTGCGCACTTTCAAGGTAACAAAAGTTATATTTCATAAGCTAATTTTAGAACCAGTTTTAGAATCAGGGTAGGGTGGAGACCATTCAAAATCTGGGAAAGCTTCTTCTTCACCCACACCCCTATTTAGCCCCTATTCATTCTTAACCTCCAGCCCTTTAAACTTTTATTTCTGAAAAGCCCCCTTTCCCTTTAACCCCTGGCCCCTTTTTGCAAGGCTTTAACCCCAGCCTCCCTGCTACAGCCTCATGGCTACAGCCCTTGTTCCTCCATATTCACTTTACCAAAATGCCCCCTTTACCGCTAGCTTCACTTTTCCAAGGCTTTGTATCCCAATACCCCTTTTACTCCAGCCTCTCCACCACTAGCCCCTTTACACCAAACTGCTATAACTCCCTCCCCCCAATCTGCCCCCAGTCTCCCTTCCCTAAGATCTTCTCACCCCCTGTGCCTTTATCCTCAGCTAACTTTAGCCTCCAGCAACTCTGCGAAATGCTCGATGGCTCAGGTGCGAGGATGGCTCAGTTGTTAGAGGCGCTGACTACAGACCCAAGGGTCCATGGTTCGAGTCCCTGGCAATACCAAACTTTCACCCGGAGTGGGGAGAGTCGCCAGCTCTCTGTAATTCCAGGCGTAGGAATTACGAGGTGTGGTCACATCGAGAGGAAGGAACAGGACACTGCTCGATAAGCATAGCTTCTCAGTATCCTAAAAACTACCTTCGGATACTAGGTAGCAATAAATACAAATACAAATACAATGCTATTTTGCGAAATTTCATTTTATTTTCAGCTTCCTTGAAACGTGTGAACCATATCGCGTAAAAGACTGGGACGCTGAATGTGGCATCAAAGGGGACTACAGAAAAGAAAGCTTTGCTATTGGCACTATATAGGCAAGATTCAATCTTCTAGTATTCATAGCTTTAATTCCAATGACTACCATATCGGGAATTCAATAATTTTATAATGAAAACCATTTTTATGAGAAAATTCAGTAATAATTTAACCAGATGGGTTTGAATAACGAGGCTCAATCAAGGACCGATACGAGGCTGACAAAAATCTGATGATTCAAAATCTAGAGGCACAAAGACTAGCAAATAAACAAAGGTGGCGCCCAACTTGTCAATAGTTTTCATCAAGCTGAAATGAGACATCAAGCTGGAAATTTTATTTTCAATGATATTTGTTTATAATTAATATGTACGGATTGATACGGCTTGATCAAACGTTTCGTTCATACGGCTTGGTACACAGAATTTCATGTTAACGCAGAAATGCCCATTTTTATTGTCAAACATTATAATGTGGTGAATGTATAAAATTTGCTTTATATAAATTATTGCTTGACTACTATGAAAAATAAATTGCTCGTACCCAATTTAGTTCATTCTGTTTTGACAATGGTCGGGTTCAGCAAACTCTGACAACAACGGAGGGTTTTTTGTTCCCCCCCCCCCCAAGGTAATAGCATATTTTTATATGCTGAAGGCTTCACCATCTAAGTAACAATACCCTTCCACCTACACTCCAATCCCTAGAACCAGGCAAATGTTTGTTATAACCTAACAAATATTTCTGGAAACCTGAAACATGTTTACTGAGATCTTCCTGGAGTCCAACAAGTGTTGCTTAATAACTGAAACATTTTTTGGAGATAAAACAAATATTTCCAAAATCTTAGAAGTGTTTCTCGAAAAATGAGACTAGTCAACTAAAGTTTGACAAGTGGTTCCTGGATTCTTAGAATCGAGCAAGTGTTTCTTGAAACCTGAAACGCGTTTAATGAAGCTTGACAGGTCTTTCTGAAACCAAACAATTGTTTTTTAAAAACTTTATAATTGTTCTCGCCACCCAAATATGCATTTATAGAGTTCTCAATTCTATTCACTGAATCCCAGCAAGCGTTTATGGGGCTCAAATAAGCGTTTCTGAAGGCCTTGCAAGTGTTTTATGAAATTGAAACGTGTTTACTGAAAACTGAAACATGTGGCATGAAAATTGAAACGGTGTTTACTGAAAACTGAAACATGTTGCATGAAAATTGAAACGGTGTTTACTGAAAACTGAAACATGTTGCATGAATATTGAAACGGTTTTTTGCTGAAAACTGAAACATGTTGCATGAAAATTGAAAGGGCGTTTACTGAAAACTGAAACATGTTGCATGAAAATTGAAACGTGTTTTCTAAAAGCTGAAACGCGTTTCATGAAAATTGAAACGTGTTTTGTAAAAGCTGAAACGCGTTTCATGAAAATTGAAACGGTGTTTACTGAAAACTGAAACATGTTGCATGAAAATTGAAACAATGTTTACTGAAAACTGAAACATGTTGCATGAAAATTGAAACGTGTTTTCTAAAAGCTGAAACGCGTTTCATGAAAATTGAAACGTGTTTTGTAAAAGCTGAAACGCGTTTCATGAAAATTGAAACGTGTTTTCTAAAAGCTGAAACGTGTTTTGTAAACCAGAAACGTGTTTACTGAAACCAAGAAAGTATTTGGATCGTTTTTTTTCTAATTGATAAATATCCAAAGAATAAATCATATAGAAAAATACGATTTCTTTTTAACTAGGCCATGATATATTTTGGCCAAAGCTCTTTGGAAGAGTCTTCAATAAAATGATGTTCGACGGAAGAGTCTTCGTTTTTGTAATTGTTTTTTTCAACTGTCTTCAGATTTTGTCTTGAATGCTAATTGAACTAATTGGCCAAATCCTTGTTTGGCTGTTTAACCTAGCTTCCGTGGGTAAACCTGGGAAGAACATGTCCCATTTACACTGTCCCGGACCAACTTTGGGTCCAAAATTTGAAAGCCGTGCATGTACTATTCTGCACGTGACAATTTGGTACCTTTTTGCCTGTCACAGTTATGAATCAGCTTATCTGCTTTGTGTAACACTTTTGTCTTTTTCTACAACTTGGTGTGTTCAAAACACCACACGGGGTAATTGTTACGTGGGTTGGGGTTAGCCACACCCTACCTTCCACCAATCATCACCATAATTGCCAGAATCATAAGCAAAATACCAGAGTTTTTTAGTGAGAGAAGTAAACATTTTCCTTAGAGTGACAGAGAAGGTCCTAATTTCCTTTAGAACCAATGTGGTCGTACTTCCCCTCGAATTATTTTCTCGATTGTGCTTTCCCCTTCGATTAACAGTGCAGGTACCTCCCCTTGGCTTGGCAGAGATGGAATTTCCCCTGGGATCGACAGAGGAAATACTTCCACCTACTCTAGAAATGTTATGTGTACCCAGCCATGTAATGGTCTTTGTTTCTTTATGTGACCACAGCTCGTGGCTCATTAGTTCCAAATTTTCGAGCTTTGGAAATCGAGGGTCGGCTCTTTTATTTGTAGTTGAAACCAGTGGCGAATTTTAGGGGGGCAAGTAGGGGCAGTTGCCCCTCCATCGCCGAGCTGAAGCAAGTCTAGCGCCCTTTTTTGGAAATGTATTCCCCTTTTGAAGAATGAGAATCAGGTGAAAAGTTTCTGAGACCACAAAGATAAGTTGTTTATTCCGATAATGGATCATGCTTTGACAGAAGAGTCATGCTTTGGAAGAAAAGAAAGGCTATCCATAAAGTCGTGTTCTTTAATTCCTTCAAACAGTGTTCAATTTCTTGCGCTAAAAAGTTGTCCAACGTTCATATCATAATCAAACCAAAAAGAGCTATGGGGCATAATTGTGATAAAATATTTGTCTATTGTGCCTAGGATCCTAGGTTCCGAGCAGTATTTCGTCTAAATTCGATGAAAAAATGTTGGGGGAGGGGTAATATTTTGACACCGTACTTTTTGTCCTATGATTTTCAATCTGCCAAATGCCTATGATTTTTGTCCTTCCCTTTTAGCAAAAAGTCGTTTTCTGGTGGTTAAAAGGGCATGGCTTGAACTGTTTTGCCCCCCCCCCCCCAGAGCTTGATGGCTGGCGCCGACATTGGTTCCGAGTCGATGTTTTAAATATCCCAGATTCATTTTCAGGCTTTCTCTAGAATGTCATAGTTACAAACCTTTTTGTGCAGCCAACCATAGTGGCATGCTTCATCAAACATTGCAATAATGGTGAACTGTTAATTTTAGGCACATTCATTTAAGTACTGTCTAACTAGCTATACAGCCATTGTCATGAAAACAATCTTAGAAAGTTATTAGAGATCTTTCTGTCAGTAATTAGGTTCTGAAATTGTTGTATACAGTGCACTCCGTCACCAATTTCGGAACATTTTCCAGCTCCCCCACTACCAACTGCCCCTCCTTCAGATTTGCTCTGGATCCCCTCTTGATTATAGGGGATCACAATTGGGTATCGCAAGGGGATTTTCTAAACGAAAATCATGGCTTGTTATATTTGGTGAAAAATATTCCTTCTAAAAAACAGAATCCAGATTAATGGAGGTTTTATATATTTTAAGTAATAAGATCCTAATTCATTGAAAATGCATCGTGGCTGTCTTTCAGCTAGCAAGGAAATATTTGTACAAAGATGAGAAAACCATTGAAGGCCCTATTTGTCAATGGACAGATTTAAGTCTCCTGCCTCGCAGACTCTTGTCTCTCCTGATAATCTGCGGGCAGCGTGCGGCCATCCTGCAGGCAATGTGCTGGCAGACTGATTATGACGATTTGTGATTGATTGTGATTATCGAAGTTTGATTGTGATGATTTATGATAATTATAATGATCGATTATTTATCATGATAATTTATGATTGATTATGATAATTTATGATTGATTTTGATTATTGAAGTTTGATTATGATGATTTATGATAATTATGATGATTGATTGTTTATCATGATAATTAATGATTGATTATGATTATCGAAGTTTGAAATGATTTATGATTGATTGTGATGATTTATGAATTATGATGATCAATCTTTTGTTATGATAATTTATGATTGATTATGATAATTTATGATTGATTATGATAATTTATGATTGATTATGGGGCTTGTCGCTTATGAACACATTGCTTGTTGATAACTAAAGCATTATTTAGGTTATTTTTAGTCCATTAAACTTTCTTTTGGGCGATTTTATTGCGTTGGGATTTTATTTCATGGGCTTTAAGCACGGGGAATTCACCTCAAAATTTGAATTAGACAATGTGTCCACCTGAAGCCAACAACAACAGCTTCGCCAATGTACAAAGAATAAGAAAAACAGTTTCGTTTTGTGGAATTTGAGCTTGACCAAATAGGAGTCTAGGACTTCATTTTACGTTTTAAATGGCTTCTCTAGCAAAAAGAGTTTTTGTATTTGGTGGAGGGGTCGCATCGTCGTTGTTTTTGTTCAATGCAGTCGACAGAAGGTTTTACGAAAAGAGGGAAAGTAAACATACTTTGCAGGCTGAAGGATCAATGACGAAGGTGAGATTTTGAGACACTCTGATTTTGCTTCAATAAAATTGAAACTATGATATCTCGAATCTCAATCTATTGTGTTATTTCATCGTTCCTTGAAATTTGAAAAATGCTATTTGCCTTTGTTTATAAAATCACAAGAAACCACAACAGTGTTGCTGTGTTAGTACAAACTGAAATAATGCACATATTACATCCACGATTGTTTCTACTTAGGACATCGCTTCTCTTACCCCTTCTTTGATGTTATTTTGCATCTTTCCTATTTTGTAGCAAATTTCTTAGAAGCCATTCAGCCCTAACAACAAGACAAGTGTTCTGTTATGTTTCCAGACATTTGCCGTCCTCATATAACGATGCAGTAGACTGTGAAGAGGATAATAGAGGCAGATTTTAGCTAGTTTAAATCAAAGAAAACAAAACCAACACTCGAAACAAATTTGCTTGATAAATTTTGATCTGTTCTTGTCTGTTTTCTCATACACAGCCCTGTTCCCAACTCCTCCTTGACTAATTCTAGCCGACTCCTCGCCGACTTATCCTAGCACCCCCTCCCTTCCCCTCCCCCCTGCCACTTATTTCACACCTCCCACTATTCTAGCACCCTCTTAACAGAAATCTAAGAACTCTTATTCAATGATGCCTGTGATTAAATGTTGTGATAATAATGCTCCTTTTTCTTAGAATCATGATCTGCAGCTCAAGGAAGTGATAATTCTCACAAGACATGGGGCCAGGACGCCCTTCAGATTTATTCCGAATTATGAACCTGCCACATGGCCTCTTGAAGACCTTGCAGATTTGGAACACACATTGATCAATTACACTGTCAAAAGTTTAGATTTTGGGAGCAAGCCAGAATCGACGATCGATAACGCTCACGGCAGCAGGGCTAGATTGAAAGTGAGTGTTGTTTTTATAATGGTTAGAGATCATACCTCTACTTATCAATCATCGTCAATCATCATCAATCAATCATCATCAGTCAATCAGTCGATCAATCAATCATCATCAATCAATCATCGTCAATCAATCATCAATCAATCATCATCAGTCAATCAGTCGATCAATCAATCATCATCAATCGATCATCGTCAATCAATCATCAATTAATCATCGTCAGTCAATCAATCAATCATCAGTCAATCATCATCAATCAATCAATGATCATCAATCAATCATAATCAATCAATCATCGTCAATCAATCAATCAATCATCGTCAATCAATCATCATCAATCAATCATAATCAATCAATCATCGTCAATCAATCAATCAATCATCATCAATCAATCATAATCAATCAATCATCGTCAATCAATCAATCAACCAATCATAATTAATCATCATCAATCTATATTCATCAATCAATCATTATCAATCAATCATCGTCAATCAATCATCATCAATCAATCATAATCAATCAATCATCGTCAATCAATCAATCAATCATCATCAATCAATCATAATCAATCAATCATCGTCAATCAATCAATCAATCATCGTCAATCAATCATAATCAATCAATCATCATCAATCAATCATAACCATAAATCAATCATAATCATTATTCAAGACGCTCCCTCGCAGCCTACAGCAGTTAAGAAGAGCATTTCTAAATAGGAATGTGACATCATTGAGACCCAACCTCTCCTGATCCATTTTCTTGGTAGTTGGCAAACTAGTCAAATGGTTGGTGAACTTTTCTAAAGGCAGTGGCGTAACGAAGGGGAGGCAAGAGGGGTGGGACGCTCCTCAGAGGCAAAAAGTCTCTTTGAAAGAATTCCTAGCTCAACTCGCCTAAAAATCCTAGTTTTTTAGATGAAACGTTTTTGAAAATGCATTTTACAGTAGCTCAACCCTCAGTTTGTTATTAATTTGTTCTTAGTTTTTGTCCAGTTTTGAAGATCGTGCTCTTATGAAATTGTTCTTTTATGAAAACGATGTTGTAAAGTTCCATTTTTAATTTGCTATATCGGTTCAATATAAAACATAATTTGGCTAAGTCATTTTTGTTGTTTTCTATTTTTGACAAAGGGTTGTATCAGTTTGGCAATATTTTAATTTAATTTAATTCATTATATTTTACTTTCATTTCTTGAATTAAAATTTAGAACTTCTAAAATATTCAGGGACGAATTTAGCAGTAGGGAAGTAGGAGTGTGTCACCACCCCCCCCCCCATATTCTTGCGCCCTTGGAAAAATTCTGCTTTCATTCAGTAAAAACCATTTTGATAGTCAGTGAATTATTTAATAACGCCCAGATTTTACTTTTTTTATCTTTATCTTAAAGTTGAATACCTAATTTTGAAATGGAGCGTTTTCGCCATTGTCCTGTGATCTAAAGGGTATAGTACCAAAATTCAATTATTATTTAACCCCTCCTCCGTCCTTGATATTTAAATCCGTCCCTGCCAATATCATTTGATTTCTTATTTTCTATTAAACGTAATTAATTTTTCAGGGTGGCTCACCCGTGGCTCAGCTGACCAAGATTGGCCAGGAGCAGATGTTTCAACTTGGAAGATCATACAGAAAAAAATACATTGAAGAACTTGGCTTTCTCTCGCCAGAATACAACAATGAAGAATTGTAGTAAGAAAACTGAATTTTGTACCAACCGGTTGCCTAACAGTTTCATTTTTCATTCCAGCGTTTAGTCTACTAACATGAAAAGAACAATTTCTTCCGCTAGATGTGTTTTAGCAGTGGCGAGCCAGTCGTGAATGGCAGCATTAAAAGTCAGGGTGGCCAATGAATTGCGTGCCCAAAGTCTTCTTAATAAGAAACTTTCTGCGGCCTCACTTCAAAAAAGCGGTTTCTTACATGCGGGTATTTGCTGCATCTAACCTTGAACAGGGCCCTCACAAAGGAAGACAGAGGGCTATGCACCCCCGCCCCCACTTTCTTGCAAAACAATGGAGCTTTTTGCAAAATCTTTTGTCACGATTGTAAAATTTCCCCTTGCTTATTCATCTCCCTTGTAAATTCATAAAGCATGTCTGGGCCTCCTCTAACTTGCTCATATATTTCCAGCCATTTCAATTAAAAGTAATTTACGTCATGTGCTACTGAACGCTCGTGAAAACAATCCTTTGTCTGTGCCTTTAAACTTAAGAGTTTCATTTTTTTTAGCGTTCGATCCACTAACATGAAAAGAACAATTTCCTCAGCTAGATGTGTGTTATCAGGACTGTATGGAAGCACCAAGCCAAACGGTGCGTTAATAGTACGGTTTTAGTTATCATATCATCGTACTTGTGGCCAGGCACCGCGGAGCGTTCAGAAAAATGGGGGGTCTAAAAAAAGGGGGGGGCTAAAACCGTATAAAAAGAGGCTTTTCTGGTAGTTTGATACTTAATTTTTGGCATTTTTTGCAAAAAGTAGGGGGGCTAGAGCCCCCTAGCCCCCCTGCTCCGCGGTGCCTGCGTGTGGCTCTGGTGAGCTCAGGGCTCATTTGAGTCTATTTTGTCCTACAGCTCTAGAGTAATCCAGATACTTGAGAGAGAAAGACGACTCGAAGAATAACGTGCAACTCGTGCGTGAGGTTAGCGAATGACTGATCATAATATACAAAAAAACTATATGCGACTTATACACATATGATTATGAGGCTAAACTATTATGAGGTTACAGTTACGTTAAGCCTACTACATAAGGAGGGGGGGGAGGTTGTGAAATTCTGTTAAAAAATTTCCGTGGCAAAAACGAAGAAATTTTTCTATTTTGTAGTTCTTTTAAGGCAAGCTTTCAAGCTTCTTGTGGCAAAAAATGATGACTGCTTATTAACTTAGATTGCATTTTTGATTGAAAGGATGAAGATCGGGGGAAAGAAATTGCAAAGAATCATTTGACTTTTATAAGCTCTTATTGAAGAGAAAAAACGGTGAAAATGCGAGTTCATTTTAAAGTTTCACATTACGTCGACTAAAATAGTATTTACTATAGACTAAAATCACGTAAGGGTAGGAGCTTGTTTGAGGGTCAGGCAAATTTCACTACCAAGGTGGAGGTTTGTTGAGAGGGGGCTAATAGGTGTGAAAGAGGCTTACAGGGGGGATTCAGAGGCAGGGACGCTGTAACTTGGAGTACACCTGGGTTAGTATTCACTCAATTTTTGAGAAATCCCCTTTTTTAAACTACAACCCTTTTGGAAAAGTGCCCCTTTTCTGCGGCTCGGAGCCCTTTCGTTCATGTCCCCTCCGACTTTAAAAGGCTTTCGATGTTTCTATTCACGGTACTGGCAAACTGCAATGCTGTATTTTAATTGTTGAATTGATGATATGAAAAGCCTACTGAATTGAATTTTGTCATTTTTTAGATCCAATTCCAATCTTCACGACTGAAAGCGAGAACGAGGCTCTGTTTCCAAATTTCTTCTTTTGCGCTAATCTCAAGCAGTGGAGTAAAGTTGCCATGACAACGTGGGATGAAATACCAGGTCTTGCTGAGTTTTACGATGCTGTTGCTAAGGAACTTGGGGTTGACAGAAAGAAGGAAGAGTTTAGTGTCTTAGGCCTCAAGGAAAATATGGGCTCAAGAGCTGTAAGTGTTTTCGTTTCCGGACAGGTTCAGGGCCTAATTAAGTCGCAGGTTTGAGGCAAACATGAATTGTGGCAATTGATTTGGAAAGTCTTACAGTTGATGACCGAATGATTGACTAAAACAAAAAACTAAGAAAACCGTTTTTTGTTAAATTCACAATTCTACATAATATGTCATTACCAATTTAAGTACAAGTTATGATTAAGTAGAAAGCTAGTACTATAAGAAAGAATTGAAAATTTGATTAAAAATAGGATGTCGTCTGATCTTCAGGCGGGTCGTGCATACTGCCACCCACTATGTTCAGTATGCAACATTGTGCCATTCTGTGCAACACTGTGCAACACTGTGCAACACTATTCAACAAATTATCTCACTGTGTTCAGTATGCAACATTGTGCCATTCTGTGCAGCACTGTGCAACACTTTTCAACAAATTCTCACACTGTGCAACAGTATGCAACGTTATGCCATTCTGTGCAACACTGTACAACACTGTGTGACTTTTCAGCAATGCTTTGCAACAAGGGTCATGGATATTTCAAAGTTCCTCATCGTTTTTGCCTGCTAACTCTACCAAATCTTTTTGTTTTCCTTTAGGCAAAAGATGCACCGATACCTGAATGTTTAATAAAACGAAAAGATGAGATCGAGTCCTTTGCCGTAGCCTATCAAATGCGAGTACTTGTTGGAACAGGGAAAAGGTTGGTTTTTCTCAATTTTCGTATCGATTCACAACCTTGGTAGTCTTACCTCTTCGCACGAATTATCACATTGTGCAAGACTTTGCAACACTATAGAATAAATAAACTTTGCATAGCTTTGCAAAAGGAATTGATCAGTTGATCATTCACTTTAACATCCGGCGTGGATCAAACACTGATCTATAAAAAAGCCTGGGTCGAGCTTCCTATTGTCTTGAAACACCAAAGTTTGAAGCCCGTTCAAGTTCAGAAGGAAGAAGGCCCCAAACAATAGCGGGAAGCCATACCTCAAAACCAATGCTTCAACGATATGGATACGCGAGAGCTGCAATGCTGTGTGTATGAGTGCTGAAAAAGAACAAGGCCAGAGCAGCTGAAAACGTTGCTAGGGGTTACAGAGAAGGCTGTCTCCTCGCATAGGCTGTTTTGGCGCCCTCTTCTCGAATGACGACACTCGGGTCACATTAGAAGCTCCATCCAGCCTTTTTTATAGATCAGTGGGATCAAAAAGACAAAATTTTAGTTTTGAAAATCTCAAAATGTGCTTAATCTGTTACAAATTGTGTGCTAAAGGAATGGCGTCACTAAAATCTATTTTTAGAATTACTTAAGGGATGGTAAATGGATGACATAATTCTATTAGCTGAGTTTTAAAGCAGCTTTCCTTTAATATGACATGAAAGTGTCAATGCTATCGTTTAGATTAGCAATGAGCTTATGAATTTTAGATTCAATAACAAATGACAGTTATTTGACAAAGAAAAGCTTCTATTGTAAAACCAGCTTGGATGTTGTCATTTATTTTGAGGCATTTATTCTTTCAGATAATGTTCTTTCAGATACTTTGATCGTTTTTAAAAAATACTTAATAATACCTTTATAACGTTGCCACTATATTGATAAAAATAATAATAATAAAAATAATAATAATAATAATAATAATAATAATAATAATAATAATAATAATAATAATACCTTTTTACTGTTAGTTTGACAATAGTGTGAACATTAATAAACACTAACATGAAGCAATTTAAGAGATTGCATTATGGAAGTCATTAACTGCAAGCGTTACAGGCGCATTGATTTTCGAAATACCAACATTTTATAAGAACTTTGAATTGATTTGTGTTTTTGGATGATTTTATTTCATTTGAAAGAGAATTCCAAATCTTTGGGCCTAAATAGCTAATAGATTTGATACCATAACTTGTAGTTTTAACCTAGGGCACAGATAGAGTATCAATTCTTCGAAGATTATAGTTATTGGGTCTTGGCAGAAAATGTCCTCATGAAGGCTGGATTCAAGTTGCAAATGAACTGGTTCTTGTTGTTTAATTCCAGCAAGGAAATTTCACGAATGTCTGTGGGTGGATTCATGGAAGCAATGTGTTCGCAGATAGAAGACAAAGTTCGTCACAAAAGGTGATTTAGTTTTTATATCATGACCTAATCGAAAACATATCATAATAGATCATGACACCTTCACAAGACTAGATGATTGCATCAAAAGAGATTTCCACGCTATCGAAATTTAATTCATTTATAAATTAAAGATGCTATCAGCAGGTTATAATTACAGTTTTGAGTGATTATATCGCCATCGAAACATGATATTTTCGTCATGATGCTATTACGTCACACCTAGACTATGATTTTGACGTCACAGTTAAACAATGACGTCATCAAGTGATTATATCGTCATCGAAACATGATAATTTCGTCATGATGCTATTACGTCACACCTAGACTATGATTTGGACGTCACAGTTAAACAATGACGTCATCAAGTGATTATATCGCCATCGAAACATGATATTTTCGTCATGATGCTATTACGTCACACCTAGACTATGATTTTGACGTCACAGTTAAACAATGACGTCATCAAGTGATTATATCGTCATCGAAACATGATAATTTCGTCATGATGCTATTACGTCACACCTAGACTATGATTTGGACGTCACAGTTAAACAATGACGTCATCAAGTGATTATATCGCCATCGAAACATGATATTTTCGTCATGATGCTATTACGTCACACCTAGACTATGATTTTGACGTCACAGTTAAACAATGACGTCATCAAGTGATTATATCGTCATCGAAACATGATAATTTCGTCATGATGCTATTACGTCACACCTAGACTATGATTTGGACGTCACAGTTAAACAATGACGTCATCAAGTGATTATATCGCCATCGAAACATGATATTTTCGTCATGATGCTATTACGTCACACCTAGACTATGATTTTGACGTCACAGTTAAACAATGACGTCATCAAGTGATTATATCGTCATCGAAACATGATAATTTCGTCATGATGCTATTACGTCACACCTAGACTATGATTTGGACGTCACAGTTAAACAATGACGTCATCAAGTGATTATATCGCCATCGAAACATGATATTTTCGTCATGATGCTATTACGTCACACCTAGACTATGATTTTGACGTCACAGTTAAACAATGACGTCATCAAGTGATTATATCGCCATCGAAACATGATAATTTCGTCATGATGCTATTACGTCACACCTAGACTATGATTTTGACGTCACAGCTCAACAATGACATCATCAAGTGATTATAGCATCATCAAAACACAACAATTTCATCATGATGCTATTACGTCATACCTAGATACTTACGTTGACGTCATAGATAGAAAATGACATCACCAAGAGGTTATATCGTCATCCAAAGCCGAAAGCTTCTGGTTGTTCGAACTTCGGCTTCTCTCAAGTCTAAAATGCTCCCAAATTCCTTCTTTTTAAAGTTAAAGCATGAATTTCCCTAAATGTCATCTACATTTGTTATTTGTTATCCTTGTTGCATTGCGCAGTGATCTGAAGTTTGTGCTTTATTCCGGACACGATATGACAATGATGACAATGTTGTATGTGCTTGGCGTCTATGACTTTAAATGGCCTAAATATGCAGCTGATGTCAAGATTGAGCTCTACCAAGACAAGGTTTGTTTCTTCTCTCCACCTTAAATGAATACATCATGTACATATGTAAATGAAAATTAGGCTTTAACAACAGTAAGTGGTTTTTTAGCTGCACTGTGCCAAGGGCAAATTTAGGATCATGGCCTATACCATCACAACCTATATTGCCATACCTATATTGATGTGTTTTTTATATCCTTTCATTTCCAAAATTCGCTATGAAAATCGTTTCGGCTATTTTGATTCTGATAATTTTGGTTCGGATTCTCAATTTTGTTTTCCAGAATCAAGACTGGTTTGTGAAGCTTCTTTACAACGACAAGGTAATCGGCATTTGATTGTTGCTGCTGTTGTGCTGCCTTTGCTATTGCCATTGTCTACGTTGGTGTTGTAGCTGCTACTACTTCTTTTCGTTGTTGCGGTTGTTGTCAATATAATACATTTGTGTTGTTGTTGCTGCTACTGCTGTTTTTCCTTTGTTGTTATTGTTATTGTTGTTGTTGTTGCTACTGCTCTTCTTCATGTTGTTGTTGCTGCTCTTACTGTTCATGCTATCGTCGTATATGTTGTTGTTATTGTAATGTTGACTCAGTGTCATTAAGCACAGCCTATGTATAACCACAGAAATACATTTATTGTTACGCTCCCTATCTCCGCGGCAGGTTGTGAATTTTAAAACTCTTCTCCGTGAACGAAAACACTTTAAATTTTCTTATTTGTGCCCAGTAGCGTAACGGAGGCACCCAGGGAGAAAACTAATACGGGGCTCCTGTTTGCAAGAAATTCCAATCTAGTCAAGCTCTATGGCAAGATGTAAAAATTATGTTTCCAGTGGCGTCACGTGACCATTCTCGCTGGGGGGTGTAAAAGATGCAAACGACAGAAATTATTTCGTTACGTTTCGTTATAAATTTAATTCTACCGACGAGTTCTCTGAAAGTTGGGGGGTGTACACCCCATCCCCTCCCCGCACGCTACGCCCCTGGATGTTTCCCTCTCACTAGGGAGATGGGGCTGTGTCATTTGATTGAAAACATGAATATAAGCATAAATGGGGGAAAAGTTTGATTCGGGGGCCCTTGGTTATCGAGCTAAGCTGCCCTAAACTGCGTTACACCACTGTGTATGCTATTGAGCTCCAAATCTGTACAGTTTTATTGCTTTTTTACGCTTTATTTCATGAGTAATAAATAGCCTTTTCAACCCTACCCTCTATGCAATTCAACCATGGTAAATCAGCGTTTATAGACAGTCAAGTTCTACAAAGCGGAAGGCTGTTTTAATTATTCTTAGCTAGATTTTAAATACAGAAGTCTCTTGTAATTGATCCTATCCTAATGGCTCGAACTAATTTTTGGTGCATAGTACATATTGATTGACATCAATATCAACCACAAATCTTAAAAAAGACTGGATCGAGCTTCTCAAGCCCAGCGTTTGTTCCACATTGCAGCGTCCATGTTGAGACCTCGCCGTGAGGCTTGAGGCTAGAGAGCAATAATGTTGGTTTTAAATCTACTTGCTTTTTCATAGCAAAATTTAAAGTAATCGTTGAAACAAAAACTTGCATCATTCGTAAGTGACGTTAAACATGTTTGCCATAGTACTAAGCTGATGTAACAAAGAATTCACTGTTCATTTATTTTCCTAGGCCTGTTGTATCTTAGAATATTTTAGAACTTAATGGTTAATGCACAATTTAAGGTGCAGCACTGTGTGTGCACCGTTTTAACAAATGGCAGCTCAAAGCTTTAGGCGCGAGAGGTCTCAAGATGGAGAGGCTCGATCAGCTTCATCGTGCTGATGTAGGACAGTAGTAAGTTGCTCGATCCAGTCTTTTCTTTCAGATCAGTGGGCCGATTACGCAATGCTCTGGATACAGTCAGGCGCTGCAAACAAGAAACTCTTATTTTCTACTTAGCCGTGAGATTTTCCAATATCTCGGCCTTTTTTGCTTTGGGCTGAAAGTCTCTTAAAAGTTTAACCGTTAGAATAAAAACCTGCATCTTTTCTATTATAGAGCAGGTTAAAACCTATAATGGAAAATTTATTTGTTGCTTATTGTAGTTTTTATCCTATAATATACCTCGTTTTACATTTCATCAGGATCTGACACTGCCAGGGTGTGGAACGCCTGTTTGTCCTCTTTCAAGGTAATGACATTTTATTGCTTTATTGCCTTTACCAGCAATTGTAGGCCGTCTTTGAAGTCTAACTTCTTGAAAGAAGTCATAATGTACCAGCATTAGTAGACTTTTTCACTCCTTGAAAATACTTATCTTGTGTTTTTCCTGAGTGGCGTTTAAAATTTAGACCTTTTTAATTTTCTGACAAACCCACGACTCTCTGGAAATTCCCATGTTTTTAATTGTTCTACTCTGTTTTGTGGAGGACTTCCAGGCACCGCGGAGGGGGGGGGGGCTGGGGGGCTTTAGCCAGAAACCTGAAAAGCCTCTTTTTATACGGTTTTAGCCCCCCCCTCTACTTTTTTTAGACCCCCCCCCCTCCACTTTTCCCAACGCCTCGCGGTGCCTGACTTCACATTCTAATCGGATGATCTTGCTTGGCTTAGGCCCTTGTAGGTATAAATGTGCCTGGTTTTTGTGTTCATAAATCGTAGCCTATGTGCCAGATCAAAACACATGCTAGAGCATCTAGTTTTAAGGTAATTTAAACAATTTTCAGGTTTTTGGAACTTTGTGAGCCATATCGTGTGAAAGACTGGTATGCAGAATGCGGCATCAAAGGAGAAGGGGTAAAAGAGAATGTCCCTACTGGTATTATGTAGACAAAAACTGCCATGATGGGCCACAATGGTATCAATATTAAATCTGGCGTGCATACTGCAAAGTACTTTGAATGGTGATACCATCACGTACATTACATCTTATGAATCACTTAGGAAAATGCATTTTGGAGTATCGCGAACTTAGAATGTTGTAAGGTGATAAACTCACAAAAAACTCGAAATAGAAGTTATATATTTCTTTCAAGGTAGGAAAACAATAAAAAGCTGGCTACTCTCGTTGCACTCTCGCTTGTAAGAATAGTAAAAGTCATGTTTCTAAAGCTCCTCACACCCACGCGCTCGCTCCTTCCCCGTGGTTAATTGTGAACAGTTTTTATTTTACACAGGAGACTCATTTCAAGCTTTCATTGAAAACACATCTTTTTAGATATCCTTAGAAGCACCTCTGTTTTGTAGATCGATTTTCAAAGAATGATTTATTGATTAAAGGCAGTCTGTCCCCTTCGTGATGTTCAGGGAAATTACGCTTTTGTGGTTCCTCATTCTGATTGTTTATTTGTGCATTGAATTAACGATGCATGAATATCGTGGCCATGAAAAGAGATTCTTAGAACAACGAGGGACATACTGCCTTTTAGTGACTGTGAAAGTTTCTGAGAAAATTTTAAAATCTTGTTTTCAAAATGTACAAGAAGATGCCTTTCCCAAAAAATTGCCAAAAAATTCGCAGGCCCATAAATACATAACAGATGGATCACACCCATAACGTTAAAGACAGAACAACAAAGGCTTACTAGAGCCCTCCTCCTCACAGATTTGTTTATATGGGTTCCTTTACTCACAACGTGTTGAAATATATAGCGTAAAGCTAAGTACATCATAAGTTACGTGATTAAAAGGCTGTTTGGTGTATAGAACAGGACAGTTCTAAGTTCTGAGTTTCATGCTTGAAGCCTGATTTCCACTTGGCGAATTCTTTCGCACGAATCGAATAAAGATTCATAGCGAAAAAGTAGGAGCGTGGTCAACTTTCTGCAAATCGAATTTTTTCGCTGCGAAATTTGAGAACATGACACTACGCATGCTCATATTGGAAAAAATTCGATTCGCGCGAAAGAATTCAATGCAATCATCAGGTGACAAATGATTAAGAGGCTAGTTATGAAAAGGAGGATACTCCAATTACACTGATTAAAAGGCTGTTTGGTGTATAAAACATTGGATAGGGGACAGGGGATAGGGGACAGGGGATAGGGGACAGGGGACAGGGGACAGGGGACAGGGGACAGGGGACAGGGGACAGGGGACAGGGGTTTTGTTTATTAGTGTAAACATGGTTCATGTAGTCCCCAGTAGGTATTGTTAAACAATAGATTTTCCTGTTGCGTGTCGGTGATGTGATTCATAATTTTGTTAGTGCTCCTCTTGTTAATCTGTAATCCGTTACCATGCCATTTCTCATTAGTTGCCATCACTTGTTGTCAGCATCCTATTGTCTCTTGGTCATGTGTTACTCATTATATTGCCATGCTGTTTTATGTTGAGTCAGTCGTTAGTTAAAGCCGTCAAGGAAAGTCGTTATATAGAGTCGTAGTGTAGAGCCGAGGAGTAAAGTCGTGTCGAAGCCGTTCCCTTTTATGAAGTTGCAGTTAGCCGTTAAATTCAGTACAGTGTACCCGCCGAACATTATTGCCGCCGACGAATATTGCTTGTAAAATTAAATTGCTGAACTATTGCTTCTGGTTTATATCCCCGATTATTCATATATTCTGGTTTTTGTTGGAATAAACTGTTGTTTCCTTTGTACTGGACTAACCAGGGCACTGTAAAATAGTGTCGTTTTACAGTATGTACGATATTTATTAATTGTTGAGAGTGCAGAAATTAGATGTTTATAAATGATCACTTTGTTCTGTATTTCCCAATATAGTTTCTTATTTATTGATATATTTAAACATTTAAGTGCATATTTTCAGTCAAATGCAATGTTGTTTTTACGATGTTACCTTGCCTTCAATCTATCTTGCCTTCTCTATTTTTCTAACTCCTTTTGTTTTTCAATTGAGCTGTTTTACATTGCGACGTCGAGATCAGGATGACGTCATTTGTTGGAAACTGGTTACTACTACTATAGTCCTCAGAAATGTTACGTCACAAAAGATGTTTTTTTCGAATTTTGGTTAGGTGGTTAGGATTACGAGCTACAGATCCAAGAGTTCGTGGTTCGAATCCCTTGCATGACCCAACTCTCAGCCGGAGTAAGAGAGGTCGACAGCTCTCTGTGGTGCAAGTTACACTATACCGGATTGCTATCGGAGCGGAGTAACTTTCGTATCGGACAGGGGTTTGAGTTACACTACGCTACACCAATCAGAAAATCACTCCGCTTTGGAGGTGATACGAAAATCACTCCGGAGTCACTCCGTAGCGGAGCGTTGTAGTGTAATCGCGCAAATGCGATATGCTCCACTTCGAAACAGAGAATTTTCTGCATGAAGCAACTCAATCGTTGGTGAACAATGGCGATTTCTGAGATTTTGTTGCTGTTGGATAATGCCAGACTGAAATCGTCCCAACATTTTCGTATTTGGATTTCATCTCTTCCAAAATTTTATTGAAGTGGCCCTTGGACGAAAAACATACTTTAACACATCAGATAGCAACACAATCTTGCTATCCGTCCACGAACTCCATCACTTATTTCCCAATTTTCAGGGTTGTTTTCGTCATTATATGCATAGATATTGAAAAAGAATTCGCAACAGCACGTGGATTCGAAAATATCATCAAAACATTTAATCTGATGGATTTTGTGTACCAGAAATGCAAAGGAATACAGGCTTATGAGCGAGCGGAGCGTCGTAGTGTAACTGCTACCCTAAATTTCACTCCAAAGTTAAAGTTACTCCTCTCTGCTCCGCTCCGATAGCAATCCGGTATGGTGCAACTCTGGCCTGTAATTCCAGGCGTAGGAATCACAAATAGTGGTCACATCTAAAAGAAGGACTAGGACATTGCTCGATAAGGACTGCTCTTCGGTGTCCTAAAAGTATCTTTGGATGCTAGGTAACATTACAATACAATACAATACGATACGATACAATAAAAAACAACACGATACGATACGATGCGATACGATACAATAATACAATACAATACAATACAATACAATACAATACAATACAATACAATACAATACAATACAATACCCTCGAATGTTAGGTAGCGAACACAAAAAAGATTGTGGATTGAGCTGCCAATGTTTAGGAGCAAATAAGGTTTACTGTTAACAAATGCAAATGATGTAGATCACAAAATTCATTTTAGTTTCTGAATCTACGGGCATTAATTACCCCCATCGTGTGATGTGCTAAAAGAGTCATTTCTGACTTGTGTCATAACCATCGTAATTACGTCTATCGCACCCAGCAGGGAGAAGTAATATTGTACTAATCCCATACATTAAGGCAGCTTTAGATGAATTATGATTGGTAAACAAAACAAAAACCAAAGCACATCCTTGTGAAGCATTCCGTACAAAACCGTTGACACCTGCGGCTTTCAACTGATTTTCAATTAACTTTTTCAAACTAAAAGGCTCCTGTAGAACTTTGATTTATTGACTTATGCAATGGCAGCTGGCTTCAAGTTTGTGTTTATAGATAAAATTTCTGTCGCGAAAAGTACTAGCTCCATAGATGATCCTTGTGTCAAGCAAGACGTCTGACATTTCATTCAACTATTGCCCATTGTCTGAGTCCAACAAAGGGTTGATTGAGTTAAAACATAAGCATGCTTTTGTACTCGTAATTGTAAAAATTCTTCGATAATAATTCCCTTTATTCGTCTACCTCGCTGTTCTTTAAACAAACGAATAAAAAGTCAAATTATTTTTTCTTTTATTTACTTTTAAAAGGCCTAATTTTATAATGCTTTGTGATACAGTTAACGAAACATATGTTTTGTGTTTAAGCCGCTTAGGCTGCAGGTCCGGCTTTTTCACCTGTCATTTGTAACCCAGGGAAAGTCTATGCAAACTCTCTTTAGATTTGCTCAGTGTAATCAAATTACAGACGTGCAAAGTAAGAGGTTACGTTATCATATAATCTAGCGCGGATTCTTGAAAAAGGAGGACTAACGGTTGATTACTGTCAAATGCAATTTCATTTAACATATCATCAACATAGAGTGGTGGTGTAGAAGAAAATGGACACGCCCAGGCTGAGAGGACGGTTTGTTAAAGATGAAACACAATCCATGAGGAGCCCTAGGCTGTCACGCACGAGTAATATAACTGTAAGTCAACAAAATGGGCCTAGCATGCGATATTCAAAGATTGCGAAACCAATGACTGTTGTCGACAGGAATCTTGTTAATTTGAAACAGCGGACGGAGAGTGAACACGTGAATGCAGAGAGTACGACAGTCGAAGCTGAGCAGAAATCAAGCTTAGGTAACGTCTGTTTGGAATATGTTGATGGTGATGTTCCCCAATCCAAGATTGAGAAACCAAAGCTGAAAACATTTGCACAGCAAAATACACCAAGTGCGAACAGAAAAAGTGGACGAAATGCTACGGGCGTCAAGGCAGCAAATCTGGAAGAAACTCATGACAAAATGTCAATCGAATCGAGTAAAATTGTTTCAGAATGTAAATTTTCAAGGGAAGACCCTAATTTGAGACAAGGAGAGTCAAAAACAAAGGAAATTCCAGAGCCTGTAACTTCCAGAATGAAATGCAACCAATTTGGCTTTCAAAAGGAAAGAGTAGCGAAGACGTTTCTAGAGAAGAAAGCAACACAAAAACAAGCCAAAGGTTGTGAGGATGAATTAAGAATGAACGAATGTTTTGAAGCAGAAGATGTAAACAGATCAAAGAAGCCATTACAAAGTGATCCGCCCAGCGGTTTCTTACCAGTGAAGCCAATACAAAGCAGTTTAACTAACAGCAGCTTGTCCGTTTCTAAGACGATGAAACCTGCTGAAATGTCACGGGAATTAAAGAAACCATTGCAATTTGATTTAAAGAAACCAGTGCAATGTGAATTTGAGAAACCAAAGCAATGCGAAGTCGTGGGATATAAGCAAAAGGATGAAGACATTTTTGAAACGAAAACAATGTCTTTAACTAGAAAGCGCGAAAGTCCAAAGATTATTGCGAATGTCAAAGAATTGAAGGATAACAGTGAAAAAGCAGATATTACTAAAAGCGATGAATCGGTTAAAAGGTCGTTGAGTTTTGGTTCCCCTTTCAATCTTGTTAATCAAAAAGGGAGAGTCGAACAGCACAGGAAGAGCGAAACAGAGAGAAATGATGCTTTTTGTGAAAAGGAAAAAGTGTTTTCTTTGGGATATGTTGGACAGAAAAAACCTGTAAAGCAAGGAGAGACTGAGGATAGTTTGGAAAATGTGAAATCTACGAAAGCAAAAAGATACGAAGCTTTTAAGTACGATGAGCGACAGGAAATCAAGCCTAGAGGGAATGCTACTGTAAACAAGGGACATGTTAGTAAATCTTTAGACGGGGGACAGCAAAGGGCGAATCATAAGATTATTGGTTCAAAAGAGCCTGTAATTACCAAGAGGGTTGCAATCGGGGGAGATTCAGTTGACTGTAATGTACAGAAGAAACAATCGAGAGAAAGAAAACAACAAGAACATAAATACCAAGAAAACAAACCGGAAGACGGCAGTTGCGAATTCTTCGAACAGACTGATCAAACAGGAAGTAAGGGAAACCAGGGAAATGGATCGATTAATGTACTAAAAGAAACTTTCCAGTCAAAAGACCCGGATATGGGGAAAATATCTGGAGTTGGTAGAAAAGATTTTGAAAAAAAAGAGGGAAATGATGTGAATATGCCGAAACCGATTTCCTCCAATATCGCGCGGAAACAGATCGCAACCGGGAAATACGAAGGTCCTATTGTTCCTAGAAGTAAGTCACAGCTTTACGGAAGTGAAAAGAAACAGAACTTGGTAAATGATGAAGTTGAAATTAAAAGTAAATTGAAATTGATATCAAGTGACGTAAATAGTAGTGCATCCGCAGTGCTGCAAACATTTACTGAAAACAGTGTATCCGTGGCTGACTCTTGCGCTAAGGGAATAAACAGCAAGTTTGCTGAAGGCGGAGAAGACCGCGCGGTAATAAGAAACATATCTTCTTATAACGAAATCAAGTTGTTTGAAGGCAAAAAAGATCGCGCGGTAAAACTCCCATGTAATGAGAATAAGTCTTTTACCCAAACTTTCAAAGCTTCGTCTGTTGATAAAGAATTCATAGTCAAGGTTAACACTGCTTCAAAGGAGATTCGCGCGAGTAATTCTTCTCTTCTGACCTTTTCCAACAACGATCATGGAATGTCATATAGGTCAGGGAGCCTTGATCGATTGAAGCTCAAAGACAGAAAGAGATCGAGGGATGAAAACCTGGATAATCAGCTGCTCCACAAAAATGGCATCCGGCTTTCTAAAAGTTTCAGTGATCCCAAAATATCGAATGAAAATACCGAAAATACTTCATTGTCAAAAACACAGTCTGACATTACTGTCGAGAATACAAATGAGGCTGGCGACACGAGGCTGAGACAAAATGGTTTAAGAGATTTCTCTCATCAATTCCAAAGGAAAAGAAAAGATTCGTCTCTATTAAATCAAGCAACAAGCTACTCTAAGTTACCAGCTTTTTGCAAGGACCCTCCTGTAGGAAAAAACGGTCTGCCAAAACAAGGAAAAATTGTAGAGAATGCGACAGAAGCTAGTTGGGAGATAAGTTTGCGAAAAAATCAAAATAAAAAGCCGGTGGCCAACAAAGAAAGTTCACCAGATTGTGGCCTATTGAAACAAAAAATCGCTATATCTGGTGTTACAAGCCAGCTTGAAGATATGAATAACAGTGAACTCAAGCAAACCTCAGTTATTTTTGACAGTAAGCCTAACCCGTGGAGCGACCCAGTTCCACAGCGAAATCCGTTTTTCTCACCAATCGAGCCAAGTTATGCTTCAGCTTCACATTCCAATGACGTCACATGCAATACATCTACAAGTACTGGAGGTATAACAGTCGAAAATAGCCTTGCATTCTCTCTTGGCAGTGAAGTTACAGTTGATATGGGGAACAAACTAGGAACGCGTTCGCGACCCGCAGTGCCCCCCAGGACTGCTAGTATACAGAACAGTTATTATCAATCGGGAGGACAAATTCTGTCCCCTATCATCGAAGATTTTGGACCTGAGAAATCATTGCTTAATAGGCAAGGTGCTTCGCAAGATAAGGCTAAATATACTAACGGTGGTTGCAATATGGCAGATGCTAACGAGAATGTAGAAGAAAAAGAATCAGGCAGTGGGGGCAAGAAGTCAAAAAAAAGCAAACGAGGGAATTTCATTGCTTCTTTGGTGAAGTTACTTCAAGAAGGGCGAGATAGCGCGGATGACAAGGATGTGCAAAATGGGCCTAAGCATAGCGCAGATATGACGTATCTCGATAACCTGGATGAGAGAAGGGAGTTGCAAATCACAGGTCCATTAATCAATGAAGGGTACCTCCCGGAGGGATATGGCAATTTGAGTGTCGGTCAGAAGTGTTGTGGAGATAAGGACGGCACTACTATTGTAGGTTCTAGTTTATTAGGGATGCAGGGAGCTTGTGTCGATAAGGTTCAGAAAGCGAGCCACAATCATGGGCAAACAGAAGATTTTATTATGATACCAGGTCAGAAAGAAAAGCATGAAAACAACGATAGAACGCGACTTAGCAGCTTTTCAACTGGCAACAAGCAGAAGAAAATTAAATCTGAAAATGATGCGCAGGAGCAATCTATGAGCTTGGGAGGAGCAGCTGTTTCCAAGGTGATTTTTTGTGCGTTTTACTTTTTTCACAATGTTTTAAAGTTAAATCTGAAAATGATGCGGAGGAACAATCTATGAGCTTGGAAGGAGCAACTGTTTCCAAGGTGATTTTTTGTGCGTTTTACTTTTTTTACAATGTTATAAGGCCTAGCAAAATCATTTTGAACAGCTGTGGGTGTTAGGATGGGAATAAATAAGTAAAAATTTGCCAGAACAATTGCGAAATCATGTATTTGACAGCACACCAGTTCGCTATTATGTTACTTAAAATCTTAGGGTCCTTGATAAATTTCAACCTGTTAGCCCTAATGAGTGTCAATACTTTAGCTGTCATATAAATTAGTTGCAACCAGCAATTGCAAAACGATGACATAATTCGGTGACAACTTAGGTGAAACGATGACGATTGGACCTAAAATTAAAGAACACACGTTTTTACCAGATGACGCACACATCCCTAAACGAGCTTAGACATTAGTCAGCAGTAAGGAACTATTATTCAAGGCTGAACTACTTTACAATGTGATTTGAAAAGCTTTTCATCTCAAAAACGAGCGATTTTTGGTACTTTTTATGACTATTAATCATGCTTATTTATGACTATCAGGTCGAGCAGTATGGAAACTTAACAATTCGGTCTCACTCACCTTGTTGGCAAATGAGGCCTGGACACCACTCTAGAGCGCAATTGCACTGCTAACTTCATAATAATTTAAAAAACAAATTAAGAAAATTCCAGCCTCATATTTTCTTAAAATTCAATAAACTGGTTTTTATAAAAACGAGAAATAACAACAACAAAAATAATAGATCTTCCCTTCTTTTTCTCGAGCCCTAGGAAATATTCTTTTTAATATCTATCAAACTGTCATTAGAAACAACCTGACTTTTTGAGTAAGAATGCATCTTCAAATAAATCTATGTAAATTTAGGCATTCTAGGCTGTTACAAGCAAAAAAAGAGCAGTTGTTAAAGTTGAGGGCAATTCCTTTTTGGAGGGCAGTTTCTTATAAGTCATTTTTGTATCTTCTTAAACAGACTAGAAAAACAAACTTGTAGACAAAGGTTAGAGATCTTGGTGGGAAAATTTTTCATTTTCATTATCTTTAATTGATGATTCTAGTTAAAAAATCGTCTCGAAATTGATTTAGTGCGATTTAATTGAACCGTCTACATTGCCATTGAGAAAAAAGTTGTTTTGACTGTCATTACACCAAAACGAAGACAGACCCTTGTCGGTTTTTTAGGAAACGGAACAAAGCCAAGCAATGATATTAAACCGAAGCGTCTCAGATGAAAGAGCGGCGGAAGTTGAAGAAAACCTAAAAAAACTTTACGAATTAAATGCACTGAAAGACTCAATTCAACTTTCCCAACGTGTTTCTGCTAAATCGAAACGTAAATTGGCAAAGCGAAAATCAAAGAAAAGTGGGATAAGTTGGTGGGAAAACGGCCTGAGTGAAGTTTTTTACTCTGCTAATGAAGACCCAAGTTCTGACAAGGTTTTCGAAAAAGAAACAGAAACCCATTCTGAGAAGCCAAGCCGACCTGAGACCACATGTAAACAAAAGTACAACCATGGCTTTGATTTACCGGAAGTCGATTTGATAAATGGAAACCATTGCAATGCTTTGACATTACAAGGGCCTCGTTCCGGTTCAATTGCAGACGATAACATTAGCGAACGGTCGAGCTTTGGCGAAATGAGCAGCCAAATTGAAAGCTCGAGTTTAGCTTATTATAAATCAGTTGTTAAGCAAAAGAAATCTGAAAATCCAGGAGATGAGGCACAGGTTTTGAACCAATCGCTGAGTGAAACAAATGGTTTATTGACTTCTTCAGAAAGCTGCGATATTCGTGTGATGGAATTCGATGTTAAACAAAGCGGGGCTACAAACCCGGTTAAAATTAAACCTTCAGCCAAAATTAAGCCTTATACAGTTGTAGATTTGTCAACCATGTCTGCGTTAACACCTGAAGAAGTCGACGACTGCCTCAAAGAGGTCAGCACAGCTGAGAAGATTGAGTGGGAAAAGCAAGAATTAGCCGGACAGGATGATAGAGCAGAGGCACCGGAGAGTCTTGAACTGCCGCCAAAATCGAATAGAAATCGTTGTAACACGATGGCTGCGGTAACGAGGGCTGTACAAGAGGATCTGGAAGATAAGCCTTATAAAACCGAAACTCTGCCGCTTCTTCCAACATTGAAAATAGTCGGTATGGACTTTCCATGCCTCGGTCAATCCTCAAAGAAACAGGAGTTGAGTAGTTTTCGTGGACGATCAAAAACTGCCCCGACTGGGAAGATAGATACTCAACAAGCTGCAGAAGGTGAGTCAAGAATAATTTTAAATTTTCACTCGTGTCATTTAATGTTGCTTATTCTGTATCTGCTGAGTGCGGGAGAAATTCGGACGTAGGAACCAGGGGTGCACCAGAGCCACGTGCCCCCAACATTGCGAAGAATGTCCTTTCTAAGAAAGTAAGAAGCAAGCTTTTTGAAATGATACCCTCTATTCTATGATATGGTGCCCCTTCGAATCTGTGCCCCTCGAACTTTGTAGTGTGCCCTACGTCCCTGGTAGGAGTAAAGTATGTTCTGCCCCCGACGCATCTTTTGAAATGGGGGAAAATCAAAATAAAAAACTATCTTTTAACGTGTATGTACCTAACATCCTTTATTTTTTCGAAAATCTGGGACTTTCCCTTACACCGATACTCAAGTCCTTTTCCTTCCAAACTGAAAGCTGCATTTGAAACCGAAACACCATTTTTGAAAGTTTTTATCTAATTTTTTTACAAACATAAACGGTTGCAAGAATGTCCATCTTGTCAAAGAATGGTCTTGAAAAGGCAATTCACAATTTTCGCTTCCAGAAGGATATCATTTTTTCTTAATTTATTTGTGGCTTATTTGTGACGTTGAAGAAAACATAGATTAAGGGAACTTAAAATTTGTTAATCTTATAATTTAAAGCACTGGTTGTATATAATATATTTTAAAGGAGGAGTTGTGAAAAATTTTTTAATTATATAATTCAAAAGAATTCAGTATGCAAGAAAGAATCCACTAGACACATTAAGCTCTTTTCTTATATATTTGGAACAGAATCATTAAGCAATCACGGAAGTAGGGTAGGGATCTTAGTGGATTTGTCCCATGCGCAAATTTACAACACAATTTGTTTTGATTTAAGCATTTTTGGCCCCCAGAGTTTCTGATCTCCCCAAAATTTTTCATTGAAAAAATTATGAGGACCTCATAATACACTACACTACCAACAGAAATTTTTAAAGATAAAACCCTGTGGCCTGTGTTCACAATTTAAAGTTATTCTCAATGAAGTGTTTTGAATAGGAACCAAAATTATACAAATACACTTTAATTTGTAAATCTTATAACAAAAAATATCTTTATTCACTCAAATAACAAATGCAAAACCTGAGCCTGCTATTTGGACCAATTAGTTGAAATTGGAAAATTTCCCATGGTACACCAGACAATCATGGCAAAACAGTGTGCCCCATCACAGTGGTTGAAAAACAATGGTCTAAATTAACTAGCTGTTTTCTAATCCCAATATGTTATATGATCTCCCTGTTCTAACCCTAGAGCCAGCATTCCCATCCTCTTGATCCCCCAGATAAAGAAACTGAAAACCATCAAAATGAATGGTTATTTGTGCTGAATAATCATAGGAGAAAGTTCTTCAAGCACAATTGACAAGCATCAGAAAAATTTGCAGCTCATCCAACTTTCTAAGCAATTGCTAAGCTCAGATTTGTATTTTTTGTATTTGTATTTATTTCTACCTAGCATCTGAAGGTAGTTTTTAGGGCACTGAGAAGCTATGCTTATCGGGCAGTGTCCTGATCCTTCCTCTTGATGTGACCACACCTCATGATTCCTACGCCTCAAATTACAGAGAGCTGGCGACTCTACTCACTCTGGGTGAGAGTCTGGTCATAAATCATTTGGGGGCTAAAGCCCCTGTAGCCCCCTGCTTCTGCAGTTCCTGGGTAGGCTGCAGTCCTTGAAGCCCAAATCCCCTCTAAAACTATGGAGAGAATGATCTAACTGTCAAAATGGAGCCTGAAATGCAATTAATTTTTCCTATTTAGGGGGAGGGGTACCATCCTCCAAGCCCATATTCCCCCCCTATACCTATGGGGAGAATGACATCACTGCCAGAATGGAACCTGAAATGCAAATAATTTTTCCTGTTTGGGGGGGTGCTGCTGTCCTCAAAGCCCCTTTGTCCTGCCTACACACGGAGAGAAGGATAGAACTGCCAGAATGGAGCTTGAATTGTGATAAATTTTGCCTGTTTTTTGGCCCAAGCCCCAACCTTCGTGTCCTATGTTTGCATCCATTTGAGTTATTGCTTATCATATTCTGTCATCTGTCTTTCCCCCCCCTCTTTCTCTATAACTTTGATATTCCCCTTTTACAAGGAACCATATAAGGTGCATGGGTCATCTAGTTTTGTTTATGAAATAGCAGCAACGATGACATCACCCAGGAAATGAAAGGTTTTGTCCTTTGTTTGGAATTTTGTGAGGGAGTTTAACTACAAGGTCATGCATGTTGTCAGTGAGTCATGATACATTGTTAAGAAGCAACCCAGTCTCTCCAATAATCCTTTCTTTGATGTTTCAAAGGAACAGAAATTGGGTGGAGAATATCTGTATTCATGGACTTTGTTAATACCTGGGTCATTTGAATTATTTTGGCATTTGCTCAGCTCTGAAAATCCTCTTACAGTGCTGGGTATAGTAGATTTCAGTCGGCTTTCAACAATGTCCTGTGGTAGAGCTGAAGCACAGCTTATCTAAAAGGTGAGACAAGTTAACATTGTCAAAGGTATTTTGAGAGGGTCAATATTTTGTTTAATAAGCAGAAAGCTATGAATTGTGTTGTGTCGAATATCTCTTTTTAAGTGCAAATGTTAGCAGATATATATATAAAATTAAGAGGTGTAAATATTAGATAAAGCTCAGTACTGTTTTTGGTACCTGTAGTTCCAAAGTAGGATAGCAAATCATGATTTTCACACTTCAAAGCAAGTTCTTAGAATTATAAAATCAAGCTGCATAGACATATTAGGTTGAGTTGATGTTGGAGGTAGGGGCTGAGGGTAAACCCCTCCAAATGCTTAATAAACTGTGCACCTGAAACTTAAAATGCCTTTCTGATCAGTGGCAGATTTAAGGGGGGGGGCAACTAGGGGCAGTTGCCCCTCTTTCACCAAATTGAAGCAAGTCTGGCACCCCTTTTGGAAATTGTGTGCCTTTTTTAAGAATGAGAATCAGTTGAAAGAGTTTATGTGATTTATACATTAATTTACTACAAGGATTGTCTCAAAGTATTCAACAATTACTGTGAAAATTTTCTTAAAAGGTGAATAGATCGCTCTCTGTCATTAGTTAAAGTCACCAATTGTTAAAATTTTTCAGCGCCCCCACTACAAACTGCCCCTCCTTCAAATTGGCTCTGGATCTGCCCCTACTTCTGATTGAAGGCAACTTTAATAAAGGCTTCTAATGTTAAAAAGCGTTTGTCCTTCCTTCATACAATGTTCTTTGCCCTGATACCTTCCCTAGAAAAATTTTGAAAACAGGGCGGGGCTCGGATGTTGCATCTCGGAAGTTTTTTTTGTTTTCATTTGCCATTCCCGCGCGGCCATTAGCCGTTCGACCGCCGCGTTTTCTAGGAACTTGCAGTTCTTCCTTTCTGAAAGCCGATCGAAACTTAAAATTTTATTTTAACCTTCGTCGATAACTCCATCAGAAGGCCATGAACGTGCCAGCCCTCTAAAACGTTTTGATAACCTTGTAAATTTGCAAATGGATTTAGGAACAAAGACACTTACAACAATTTCCACAAAGATCAAACAGAAACTAATTGATCTGAGAAAACAATGGCCTTTTCTAAGGAGAAGGTCAAAAAATTATCTGATCATTGGAAAATCGCGTCAATGTTCCATGCAAATCAAAATTTGTTTTTCGCAAATCTTTCTGACTCATGATGGCGTGGTTTTGGCAGCTGAAGAAGTGGACATCTTGTTCCTTTCAAATCAAATATTGATCTTTCGCGTGACTCGACCGCAACAAATCTTCACAACAACGGTCGTTCTTTCCTGCCCATGTGGATTCGCTGCGAGAGCAACAAGACTCTCCCGATATCCTTTGTGACGTCATAAACGTCTTGATCGATTGTTTTGAAAACAATTTGAGATGGAAACGAAAGCCAGATGAGATGTCGTTCAAATTCGTAGGAAGACAATAATGCTTGTTAAAGTAGCGTGCTGGAAACACGGAAATGTGAAACACAGTTTTCCTTGGTCAATTTTTGTCGTAAACAAGACGCTCCTTGGTAGAAATATTAAAAATGGCACGAAGACATTTTATCCACAATTTAAGCTCTGTCCAAGTTGCTTTGGGTATACAGTATGAACCTCAAAAATCGGGAGGGGACCAATTCTTCAAGTAGAAATCTACTTTCCCTTTTCCCCTTTAAATTTTCCCGCCCCTCCCATAAAACCTTAATCTTGGACAGGGATGTTGAGACAAACCCCAGAATTCGTTCTTGGCAGTGGCGGATTTAAGGGGGGCAACTAGGGGCAGTTGCCTCTCCCTTACCGAGTTGAAGTAAGTCTGGTCCCCTTTTTGGAAATTATACGCCCCTTTTTAAGACTTGTAGGTTAATTTGCTTCAAGAATTACCTCAAAGTATACAACAATTATTATGAAAATATCCTTGCAAAGTAAATAAAGAGCCTTCTGTCAGTAGTTAGGGTCTGAAATTGTTGCATACAGCGTACACTCGTCAAAATTTTTCAGCGCCCACACTACCAACTGCCCCTCCTTCAAATTTGCTCTGGATCGGCCCCTGGTGCTTTGTAGCATGCATGCATTATCCAACATCTACCCCATCCCCCATATTCAAAGTTGGGGCGTATGTATTTTAGTAGCAACTATATCAACATTGAACTGGAGGAAGGGGGTTGCAAAATCTCAACACCGTCAGTCCGAGATCATGGGCCTTTGTACCGAGGGTAGGCTAAGATACATCCTCGTGCATCCAAAGGGTAAAAAGAATGTGTGGGTTATACCCAAATATGTGCTTTATATTTGCAAGTTCTTTTAATATCTACGTAAATCAACTGCATTATTCATTGAAACGAAATTCATATTGTGGGAGGTGCTTTTAATTACATCGTTTAGATGGTCCACGGTTAGCAAAGAAAACACACTCGTAACATTTTCATATCTTTCTTGATAACTCAACGAGGTTACAAAGATAACTGAACTACGATATATAGAACTGGA